AAAATTGAAAAAATAGTGTCTTGAAGCTTTTTATGAAGAGAACTCAGAACTTTTCAAGATTCGAAAATACCCCCAAAAGGGTCAGTCAGACAAAAAAGAAAAACCCTGCAAAAATCAAGAAAACCCAAAGCAGGTGATTTAGTCCAAAATACTAAAAATGAAAACTTTCAATCAAAAACAGAAAAATGTAGTGTTTGTAATGGGAAAAATGGGAGGAGAAAGTAGAAAAGAAGAAGAATATAGACAATGAAATGAGTGGAAGAGGGAGATTTGTGTGGATAAGAGAATAAGATTTGCGTATAAAATACTTGATGAGTATTGAGACAGCACAGTATTAGCAGGGCTCCACTTTCTTCCCTTTTGTGTGGCTGTTGGGTTGCCGTTAATATTAGTGGCTATGAATATTTGGGCATTATTTATTTCTACTCCCCTTTCGTGGACGATGGCTGTTGGTGGGGGTTTGAAATACCAGATTCACACGCATCTACCTCAATATATCAATGATATTTTTGGAGTCGAAAACGAATATAGGATTTGAAGTTTATAGTATGTTATCTCCTGTATTCAAAGTAGCAAATTAAAAATAATAAAAGTTAAAGAGAAAAATATAAAGAACTATTCAAGTCCACAGAACCGCTGTGTGTCTCTTAAGAAATTTAATCCTCTTAAGTATCTGATGTTTCATATTAATTTCTCCGGAGATAAAACGGATTAACCATTAAAGAAGTGGTGGTGTCTGAAACTTCAAAAATTTCAACAAACTCAAAATGACAGCAATGAAGATTAACCATTAAAGAAGTGGTGGTGTCTGAAACTTCAAAAATTTCAACAAACTCAAAATGACAGCAATGAGTCACGCACAGACACGATCGATCGATTTTGTTTTGTAAGAAATGTATGCAAGAAGAGTGAAGAATTCGATGTAGAAAATGAGAGAAAACCTCTTTATTTATAGTCAACAAAGGATAAAGGTTACAACTCTTTGGAAATAAGATAACCTTTCATAATTAACCTTTCAGTAGACCCTTCATTTTCTGTTTATACCTTTAGAACCCAACATTTGAGATGACGTTTAATTTATTGTTCGTTGGAGAGGGGTGATAAGAATGTGTTATCAAAATTTAAAAATATGTTTTTGTAAAGGAATTGTTAGATCAATTATGTTTTTGATCAGTTAAAATTACACGTTTTGAGAGATAAGGATGCATAGATGGATAAAAGACAAGATTATGAATTGAGATATATGGGGCATATGGCAGTAATTTTTATTATAGACAAGATGCAAGAATTCAGACTAAAATGATTTGAACATGTGAAGAGGAAAAGTGTACATGTGATTCGGTGAGGGTGCAAGAGTTGCCAGTGTTAGACTTAAGGAGAAGTAAAGGCAAATCAAGAAAATAGTGAGAAACATGATTAGATATGACATGACGTATTTTAAATTAGCGATAATATAACTCTAAATAGAAGTGCATGAAGGTCTAGCATTTATGATAGATAGGTAATAGAAAATGAAGTGTTTTCTTTCTTCTAAATATGATAGCAACGTCCTAATATGGAGCATCTACAATTCTACATCTTCTATTATCATTATTATTGTGCTAATATTATCTAATTCTTAGTTGTATTATTAATTATCACTATTTTCCCTTTTTTAGTAAATGGAAAAGTTTCATTAAGGAGGACTATACTATCTTAATTAGTTTAAGGAAAGACACAAATTTAGATTCAAATATCCATATTGTGAGTTTTTGATCATACATATCCTTTAACTAAATTCCAAACATAAATTACATCATTAAAGTATTATTTTTAGCAGAAAAAATTATTTAACTATATCCCAAACTTAAACTAAATCTTTAAAATATCATTTTTAGCAGAAAACATCCTTTAAATATTTGTAAGAACAATTTTCATTCTTTTATTAGATATTGTCAAAAAATTAAGGTTACTTACGAGAAAATGTGTAGTTAACATAACTATCAACAAAAGTTATTCTGAAAAGTTTCATTATTTTCTACAAGAAGTTCTTTAAAATTAAATCTTAGACATTGTTGCTCATGGAAACTAAAAATGATTGGAAGGTGTGAGTGCACATGATTTGCTTTTTTCCTAACGAAAAGAAGTTGCAGATTAATTATTTTTACCTTTTTTTTAACCAATAAAATGAATAAATTTTTGGGTCAATCTAATATCAAAGTGACCAAAATATTGATAATGTCTCGTGTTTGAGTTTCATTCTATAGTATTAGAAGTTGAAATCTCCAACAAATGTCGCTTCTAGCATATTCAATTGAGAAGAAATATATTTAAACAAATAATATTTTTAATTAAAATTACATGAAAAATGAATGAAAAAACTGTCAAATTAAAAGATTTTGCATAATTCTTAACTCAATTACGAAAAAGTTTAGGATAATATTCTTGGCATAGTTAAGAATAATAATTAGGAAGGGATGACTTAATTTTTGTGGGATATATTGATTAGTTTTCTGATAAATTCAAGTTGAAGGATGAAAATTGTTTACGTTAAAATACTTGAAGGATGTTTTCTACTAAAAATGATACTATAAGAATGTAGTTTAAATTTGAGGTATAATTAAATGATGTTTTTTTGTTAAATAATACTTTAATGATGTAATTTAAGTTTGGGGTATAGTTAAAAGATGTTTTTGGCCAAAAACTCCCCATATTGTAATTTTATTTCTATTTTATTTTTAAAAAAAGATATTAAAAATGAAAAAAAATTCAAATTAGATAAATATATTGAAAATTTTTATGTGATAAAGAAAACACAAAAAAAATTATTGTGTATTGGGAAAAGGGTCTGATATACCCTTTAACTTTGTCATTTGGAGCTGATATAACCCTCGTTATAAAAGTGGCTCATATATGCCCTTACCTTTATACAAACGACTCACATATACCCCTGTCGTTACAAAATGGTACACATATACCCTTCATTTAACGAAAGTTAAAAAATTAGTTTTAAATTTATATTTATTACTTCTAATTTTTTTAAAAAAAATTATTTAGGGGTATATATGATTCTTCTATCAAAGTTCAAGGTATATTTTTTTTCATATATAAATTATTTTTTGACTTCTTTTATTATAATTATTTGAATTTCTTATTCTTATTTTGTTTTTTTCTTTCATTCCTTAGTTTATTAAACTATTTTTTTTTGTGTATTGTAATTTAATTTCGTATTCGAAGAAAAAATTTGGTCATCTACAATAAGTTTTACAAGAATATTAGTGAAATATAAATAAATGTGATTATCAAAATAATAATTATAAATTAGTCATTGAAACAAAAAAAAGTCAAAAAAATATGTTTGATGAGGATTAAATTTACTCATATGAGATAATATTTTTTAGAAAAAATAATAAAAATTTAGATTAAGATTATTATTATTTTTATTTCCGTTAGAGAAAAAGGGTATATGTGAGCCATTTGTTTACAAGTAGGGGTATATATGAGCAACTTTCATAACAAGGTGTATATCAGCTCTAAATGATAAAGTTGAGGAGTATATCAGACCCTTTTCCCTTGTGTATTTGAAGAGCATATTTTCTTTCTCCAAAGATATATGATTGAAATATCATAACTCATACACAAAAAACTTGAAGACATTTATTAATCACACAAAAACTCAATTTTTATTTGTAGAATTATATACAGAAGAAAGAAGTGCAAAAAATTAAATAATCAAAGTTTAAGGCAATGCCTCTATATTTATATAGCCGCAATTTGGAGTTTGTGAAAAATGTCTGTTCGAAATATAATGTTTTTATTTCATAATCGATATACATATTATAAATTCATAATCGATAAGATTATAAAATTTATTTTTCATGTACCATTCGTTTTTTTTTCTTTTTATTTTATATTCACACCAACTTTTAACACAACAATAAATTGGGAGGTTGGGAGTTCAAATTATTGTTGTTTTGTGGGGTGACAAGTGAAGATTTGAGATTGGTGGATTAAAGTGTCACTTTCACTTTCAATATTGGTGTTTTTCATACTTAGTACATTGGCTATAAACGATCAAGATCATTCTTGAATTATTGTTTTTCATGGTCCAGATGATCCAATTTATGTGGTTCTAAATTATCCCAACACACTATATATTATCTTTTGTATTATTAATCCAGATCCTTCTAATCCCTCTTTTGATTCCACGTGTTGAATTGGGATGAGAAAAAGACGATACAAATTTAATCGTTCTAAGAAAATGATGTATAACCCTTTCAATCTATATTTAAAATCTCAACTACATATTATATAATAGATAATTAGATTTAAAATTATATAAATATCGATATAGACGTATCAAAATAAAGTTAGATATTTAAGCGCAAGTAAGGTAAACTTCAACTAATTTATGGTCACTATCATACATTACTATGGATATGTGTATCTTATGTTCGCTTTTTTTTTGGTTTATTAGTATAACTTCTTGATTATCAATATACTAAATTATTAAGATATATATTTATTCATTATTGGTGTTATTATTGATCGTTATTGAGTGAATCGTTAAGCTATAATACCAAAGTTTTTTTTTGAAATTTCTTAGAAATAAGATGACAAACCAAATAACCATACACCTGAGTAGATATATTAAATTTTGCTCAAAATAAACACAGACATCGTACAATAATCGAAAGTTTGTGACAACCAAAAATAAAAATTTATAAAATTAAATTTTAAGTTAAGAACTTTATATACCAAATGATTAAAATATAATTTATTAATTTGCTATTAAATTATCAATTAACTCGTTAAGCATCCATAAGTCAATACTAAAATAGTCAAAACCTTATCAAGAAGATCCGCTAAACCAATATTCTTTTTTTGGTTTCAAATTATCAATTTTAATTTGATTTTGAATAGCCCTAAATACCAGAGCTATGAATCAACAAAAGAGAGTAAAAATTAAAAACATGACACTACGTGATCAACAACTAATACTAGCAATGTTAAGCAAACACTTTAGCAAATCTGTTTTTTTTTATAAAAAAAAATAATTTATACAAATTATATAAATGTGGATAAAGACTGTTAATCATCTAATTACAATTATTCTACTTGCTTTCAGTCTCTTATTAGGGGTTATAATAATTTAAAACATGACTAATTTGTACTTTTGGGCTTAACCAAACTTGTAAAAACTTTTATTCATTTTTGTAATTTTAAAAAAAAACAAAAAAAATACGTTTAAGCCAAGCTGACGTATACCGATGTTGCAACACCGAGCGCGTAAGCACCAATCGCCGCCGCAATTAATTCTTTCCCAGGCTTCACCACCGCACCAACGCCAGCGATCCCCAAAGCACCAACCGGAACCCGCTTTAGAAGCTCTTTCCCTGCACACGAAACGACAGCGTCCGAAAATACCTCCACTGAGAACTCCTTGAATTCCTCGTTCCCAAGCACAATTTCACTCTCCTTTTCGCCGGATCGGCGCGTTGACACGATTTTGAAGGCCTTATCGACCTGTAATCGGGTCGGAGGCGATTTAACCCAATTTTTTATGAGAGGTACGGAGGGAGAGAGAGAAGCGTGCAGGCGTTCCACGGCGGAGAAAAGCTGGTAGGGTTTCACTCCGGCGAAAGCGTGCTGTGATAGGGAGAGACAATCATCATAGACTGAATCACATGCCGAGTTGAATTCGGATGAATTTTGGAGTGAATTGCTAACTCTCTTAGAAGCTGAGAGCCCCATAGCTGTAAGTCAATTTTGTGCTTCTTCTCCCTGCTTCAGATATTTTGGTGCTATCAGAAGTTTTGACCCGAATTTCTCATGGGTCAGATACACCCTTATCCGGCCCATAATAGGATATCCATATCCGGGCGAGTATTTAAAATATAGCCAAAATATCAATTTCTTGCACTTTAAACACTTTAAAATAACTTCATACGTGTGAAGTTTAGCTTATTTAGGCATTTTTATATGAGGTTATAAGAGCTTGTTTGGCTCAGCTTAAAAGCTGGTCAAACTGACTTAAAAGCTGGTTTTTGATTTATTTAACTGTTTGGCAATACTCAAAATAGCTTATTTTAAGTTAAAAAAACTTATTTTAAGCCAAAAGTTAAAAGCTGGGGTAGGGGTAGGGGTGCTTTCTTTTTTTAGCTTATAAGCTGTTTTAAGTTGACCATATTTTTATGTTTTTTTCGCTTAATATTTTTATACAATCTCCAAATTACCCATATAACCCTAACATCTCTTTCTTCTATTTTTCCCTTTTCACGTTTGGCATAACAACTTCAGCACTTTTATCCAAACGCATAACTGCTTATTTTAAAAATAAGTTTCAGCACTTTTAAAAGTACTTTTTTAAAGCTGCTTTTATTAAGCCCATCCAAACGGGCCCTAAGAGCCTGTTTGGCTCAGCTTAAAAGCTGGTCAAACTGACTTAAAAGCTGGTTTTTGACTTATTTAACTATTTGGCCATACTATACTCAAAATAGCTTATTTTAAGTTAAAAAAAACTTATTTTAAGCCAAAAGTTAAAAGCTGGGGTAGGGGTGCTTTTTTTTTAGCTTATAAGCTGTTTTAAGTTGACCATATTTTAATGTTTTTTCCTTTAATATTTTTATACAATCTCCAAATTACCCATATAACCCTAACATCTCTTTCTTCTATTTTTCCCTTTTCACGTTTGGCATAACAACTTTAGCACTTTTATCCAAACGCATAACTGCTTATTTTAAAAATAAGTTTCAGCACTTTCAAAAGTACTTTTTTAAAGCTGCTTTTATTAAGCCCATCCAAACGGGCCCTAAGATTATCGACTAGAGAAAATTGAGTGTCATGTCCCTCAAAATATCTTTTTTCTTTAAGAGGGTGGCGGAGTTTGGATTTTTATAGAGAGGTTTAAATAACATGTTAAATAATGCTGACAAATGGTTCGTAGCAAATTTCAAGCTAAAACATTGAAAAATGTTGCTAACGGTATCTGAATTCACGTGCTAACTAGTTTTTGAACCCCTATAACGGCCCAAGCCCTCTTACTTGTGTTGAGGGGTTCAATATAGAATATATGGACATAAAATATACATTTGATTCTATATCATTGTATAATTTTTCGATTCAAGAGTTCGGATAAATACTTTCAACTCTATGTAGATTCACCACTGCCTCTAATACGAAATATCAAAATGTAATAAATATCAAATAATTTTTTATTGTACTGCTTTTGCAGAAAACTTAACTTAAATGTAATAGGAGCTAAGTTGCTTGGATTGTGCCGCACCCGTGTCGACACAACATGGGTGTAGGTGTGAGATCAGTGTTTATTTTGGTCAATCAATTTTGGGTAATTTGACCAAAATCGATGGGGGCAAAAGTCTAAACAGTTTCAATATTTTCTATAATCAATACAAAAGCTAAGATGAAATTGAAGAAAATGTGATACCCTTTATATAAAAATTTCTATGTCACTCCTTTTTCTCTAATCTCCTCGCAGGATTCTCCTCAAGTTCTCCATAAAATATCTCATAGTTTAGGTTTTATAATTCTATTTTTAGATATTTTAATTATTTTTAGACGAATACCCACATCGATATCCATATTCCTGAATCTTAAAAGCTAGATCATAAAGAATCCGATCTCTTGATCGACACCCGTACTCAAGTCCAAGTAACTTAGAATAGGAGTATTAACTGCAAGTTATTAAAATACACATAAAAAGACCAAAAACCATCACAATTCACACTTCACACAAGAAAGGGAAAGTAAGGATTTGGACTTTTTTCCCCATAATTACAATACCTTACTATTCCTAAACACATAGAAACAAGAAAAAAGACAATCCATTTTTACAATTAAACTCAAAGCTTAATTAACATAAGTAGACTTTTTTTAAAAAATTATTTTATGCATGCGCATCATCTCCAACCCAAACAAGATCAGCTTGTGACATCCAATGACAAACCTCTCCATTTCCAGGTGAAAAATTCAATTTTTTGAAAACTGGATGATCAGCTGGCCAAGAAGAAGTATCCATATGACAAACAACCATAGCTTTATTAACATGAACATTAGTGTTTAAATCAACTAGCTCCACCGCGTAAATGTTAGTTGAAGATAGCAAATGACAAAAGTATGTAGCAAAAGGAAGGAATATCTCATGGCATGAGACACTCCTTTGGGAATTGATTTTATGAAATTTCTCAATTTTTAGTTTCTGTCCTGACCCTTGTATGCTTTCTGTTGTCAATGAAATTAGGTGGTTCTGTTTCAAGCTTCTCTTTGAGAACTCTATCATTTCTTCCAAGGATTTCGCGCATGTTTTAACTTCTCCTTTTAGAGTAGGTGCATTGCAATTGAGGATGGTAGTTTTTGTGGTATCTTTTGTGTATGGTGAAGTGAAAGTTTGAGGGAATAAGTGTTGGAGATGGTTTGAGTTAATGGAGATCTTTGAGGCAATTTGTGATGGAAGAAATGAGCGATGAGGGAACGGGTTCACTAAGTTGTCTAGATGGACTGTGTTTCCAGGTTTGAGGGTAGAGACTCTGAAGAAAGAGACTTCTCCAAGATGATGACTATGAGAGTGTGAAGTTGCATAAATTTTTGATGTATAGACCTTAGCTTGTTCGGGAAGATTAGCTGGATAGACCTTGGCTTGATCAGGGGTTCTGGTCGCGTAGAATATCTTAGAATCTAGATTAGGGATTTTGGTTGTGTAGACCTTAGCTTGATTAGGAATTTTGGAGGGATAAACTTTGGCTTGATTTGGGAGTTTAGCATAGACTTTAGCTTGATCAGGGGTTCTGGTTGTGTAGAATATCTTAGAATCTAGATTGGTGATTTTGGATGTTTGGGCATTAGTCTCAGAAGTACAAAATATATCAGCAAGCAAACAACTTTGAGTATCAAAAGAAAATGCCTTTTTGGACACTAATGAAGTGTAATATTGAGAGTCAATCATGTTCATTGGAGATAATTTAGAAACAAGAGATGGAGGCATTTCATTGACAACATTTTCTTTCCAAAACTTGAGTTGATTAGAACCCACAAATGGTACAGAATTACAAGTAGAAGAAGCAAATAAAGACAAGACACTTGACAAGAAAAACATAAACCAATGTGAAGTAGCCATTTTTTTTTTTGGGAAGACTTAGTGTTACTTGAGATATTTTTATCTTAAGAAACTTCCTTATTTATAATGTGAAAATCCCAGACATTGTGATATCAAGTTACACTTAAATAATGTTAAAGTTCTTGAAATAATGTATACTATACACAAGTAGAAGTCTCTTTTTCATGCAAATGGCCAATTTAACTAGAGATATATCACTCGTATTTTGTACTATCTCCGTTTGAAAAAAATGACTTTCTTTTCTTTTTAGTCTGTTTTAAAAAAATGATATCTTTCTTCTTTTTTTTTGGTAATATCTTTACGTGGCATATTAAGCATAAGATTAAAGGCTAATTTTATATATTTTACATATCTTTAACTTAGAATCACATGATCAAAAATCTTCTTTATTTTTTAAATTCCGTGTTAAATCAAATTAGATCGTTATTCGTGAAACATAGAGAGTAACTTTTTTTCTAGATTATTTGGACAAGACAATGATATTGCAGCTGCTTGCATTATTAGCTAACAAGAGAAAATAGTGGTTAATGTTGAAAAAACAACTGCTCTATTACTTTTTGTCTGTCTCAATTTATATAACTTATTTTTTTTAAGTTAACTTTTAAAAGAATGATACATTTTCTATATTAAGTAATAATTTAATTATAAAAAATATATTTCATTATTAATAAAATAATTTATAGCCACACAAATTTTTATCATTTATTCTAAATTATAATTTTTAAAATTTTTATTTCTTTCTAAAACTCTATACCGAGTTAAACTCTTTCGTAAACGGGACAGAGGAAATAGTATCTTTTAGAAATGCATGCATTTTTGTTACCAACTAGAAAATAATTAAGTTAAAAGCCAATATATAGTGGATTATCCATAAGCCATGATAAAAAGGAGAAAACAATAAAATACTAATAAACTTTAAGCTACATCACTATGAAATTACTAGTTCTCCACGCTTAGCTAAATATCTCAAGTTTGAACTATTAGAAATAAAAAAAAAATCATATTAGAAATATTGCCTTTTAAAATGGATTCGACAATGTAAAAATTTGAATTTAATCAGATATTAACTGAAAAATATAAAAGAGAAGAAAATAGAAGTGTGTCCACCAACAAGTGCTTTTCTTCCTTCTGAATTGTAAATTTGATATGTGATCATTCATGATTTAATCTACTTCGTGTTATACGAGAAAAATGACAGAAATAAGTATGATTTGTAATATTGAGACAAAGTAAATAATTATATGGTACCATAGATAAAAAATGACCTGATAATATAAAATTTCTTTACACGATTAATTTATATATATGAGTAAGCTAATAATTTATATAGCACATATAGATGGTGCTTATCCAATAGTGTTCATTTTCACTAAAAATGATGAGCACTTGTATAGTGGTATTAATATAGCTAAAGTAATTAGAAGAAGAAAAGCTTAGAGGATGAAATTTAGGCTGATAAAGATTTGGCTTTAACTTTTTGTTTATATCATGGATCAGTGAAGATAAGTTCTTGCCTATTTGTTAATGGTATCTATTATTATACTAAATAATTGGGATTAGCACTAATCTATAATTATTTGAATTATTCCTAACTAGAGGATATAAAGGAAAATTTGGGATTTAACCTTTC